CTGGTCTACATAGTGAGTTCCAGGACAGCTGGGGCTACAGGGAAACCTTGTCTCAAAAATTAAAAAAAAAAAAAAAAAAAAAAAGATATTAAAAAGTAAAATTGTGGAGTCAAGAAGCAGAGGCTTTTGCTATCTTGGATCTCATTCTAAGAAAGGAGAAAACCTTTCCAGGAGATGTCTCCTTCCCAGCAGGTCTTTCCTTATGTCTCATGGGCAGCATTACATCACATTCATAAACAGAAACCAGGTTGTGGCAAAATAGACTTATACTTTGTGGATGTACCATGTAGGATTCAATACATACAAAGAAAAAGAAGGTTTTGGTACATTTATGAGTAGCTATTAGGAATTAAGTTCCTTCCATACTTGTTACAGGATATTAAAATGTTTAAAACCCTTTTCTAATTTGCCTGTGAGACGATTCTAGGTAAAGACATGATCTAAGTTTGATCCCTGGGACCCAGGTAGTGGAAGGAGAGAATAGACTCTTGAAGGTTGTCCTCTGACCTCCATACTTGTGCTGTGGCATGCGCATGCTCTGCCTCTACCACACACACATATACAATAAACAAATATAACTAAAAAAAATTTAATTTGGTAGGTGGAAGATACTTCCTCTTTGTCACTTTTGTTTATATTTCTTTGATTACTGGTGGATGTAAACTTTTTTTCTTCCTGAAATACTTATTGTTCATTGTATTCTGTGATATGCTGAGTCATATCAGTTCATGTATCACGACTTTCAAAAGTGACTTTTATGGTAAATCCTGTAGAGCCTCAAACTGCATCAGCAGATAGCATGAAGTATAGACTTGTCAGATGAGTATGTCTACTTTTCCACAGGGTTACACATAGGTCACTATGTGCTGTACAGACAAGGTTGCCTGTAAACAGAATTTGAGACTTTCCCAGGGCAAGTCAGGAAGTCATGTCCACACTCAGCTTTCCTCTCTGCACCTCAAAGCATTTTCCATTGGCCAGTTTTTGAATCACTTTTGCCATGACCTTTACAACGCTATCTTTTTTTGGACCATAGAAAAAAAAATAGTATTTATTTCTGAAAAAATACAGAACCCAGACATTAATTAGAGACTGGTTCACCCTCACTGTGATCCTTTTGTTAATGAGCCCTCATATAATTATCACCCAGTTTTACCAAGTGTGAGTTTATAGTTAGGAGAAATTGTCATGGCCTCCTAAGAATCAAATTATAGAAAGCTAGAGGGCAAAGGCAAGAAATGTCACTCTGTTGCCAGAGAACTAACGTGGCGAATCACTGGTCTGAATCTCTAGTTTTATTGGAACTCAAAAATCCAGAAGGACTCCTAACAATTTCTTTGCGATGCTTGAAAATTCATCTTACAAACCCAAGGGTGTAAAGTTTGGAGTGAGGAAAGTGAACACATTTTTATTTCATGATTAAAAACTTAAAAAGCATTTTTTTTGGCTTAGGGATGAAAAATAACTGATTTCTATGAAGCCTGAAATAAATGAATCTGCTTCGCTTGTTATGTGACTAATGATCTTCATCAGCACTGAGCTGCATCAGCATTGCATTCAGGTAATAAATAATTATGCACTCTTTGCTCCATCAATAACTAATTACCTAACTACATTCACATAACCAGACTTCATGTACAAACAGTTATTTAGATTTGTAAGAATTGATAATACAATTAAATTGACCTTTACAGTAGTTTATCTGTGTCTAACTTTTTATAGTTTATGCTTGTAGTTGGGTTGCCCCGGCCCTTCCTTTTAACCTTAGGAAGTAGATGCATCATATTACTTTTTTTTCAATAATTAAAAAATTGAAATGGCTTTTGCATGAAAACATGTGACCCATTACAGGGCTGGGTAATTCATTACTAAATTCCCTAATAAATTGCACACCTCTAATCCTTTATCATCTTGACAAGAGAGCAACCAATGGCAAGCCCACGAAAGTTACAAACTGCACAAGGATTGAAATTAATTTGCTTCCCCTGGCATTCAGGTGTGTGAAGAGATTATAGAAATGTGATGGTAAGAGAAGCCAATAAATTGGGGCGATGACACATGCCTTTAATGCTCACACTTGGCAGGCAGAGGCAGGCGGATCTGAGTTCCAGGTCAGCCAGGGCTACATAGTGAGGCCGTCTCAAAAAACCAAAACCAAAACAAAACAAAACAAAAAACTGAGAGAGAGAGAGAGAGAGAGAGAGAGAGAGAGAGAGAGAGAGAGAATTGAATTTTGCATCCTTCCTCATCCCCACTCTAATGAGCTTCTGACCACATGTAGCATTCCCTGTTGCCCAAACCTTGCCTCTCATTTTATAATAACATTCATAGTTAAGATTTGAACTGATGCTATAGACTGAATGCTTGTGTCCCTTGACCGCAAATGCATATGTTGAAGACCTAGTTCCCAAGGCAGTGGTATTTGGAGGTAGGGCTTTGTTCCCAAAGGGTATGAGGCCTTCATAATGTGACCTGAAAAGGAAAAGGACAGGCACCTCAGTGTTCTCTTTGCCATGTAAAGGCACTGTGAGAAACCAACTCTCACAAGCCACAAAGAGAGCCCTCACCAGGAACTGAATTGATGGGTGCCTTTAATCTTGGACTTGTAGGTGGCTGCTGTGAGAAGAGCTCTGTTTCTTGAGCTATCCAGTCTGCAGTGTGCATCTTCCATGGTTGGCCAAACAGAGTAAGGACAAACCAAACTCTAGACTTCCAAGGATGTGATGAAAAAGTTAGTATCTCAGGGATATTCTCCCATGACTGAACCTTTCACCATAATCATTTTTTCCTCTTTTTTTAAAATCAACAACCATCATCCTATTTCATCAGCACTTAATGGGAAATGCAAGTTGACTCCACCACTTTACTGAATAAGAATTTATTCACCATCTACTATTGTAGACATGCTGGCCTTAAAGTGAACAAACTGCAAAGAGGAATGAGTGTCAGTCACTATAACTGAGAATCTAGCAGTTTATACCAGAGCTGTCAATAAATAAATGACGAGGGCCATGAAAAGGGACTGGACTCTACAAGGTGCAATAAGAGCCCAAGGACTGATATTTCCAGAAGATCCCAACAAGGCATCCAAATTAGATGACATCTGAGTTTTACTAATTAAAGTGCATATGAAAATTAATTTCAGCACCCTAAAGTTATAGGTCATGCTTCATATTTATAAAAATACTAAGTGTAGAGAAAATAGCCTTCGGTGTGTCCATCACCCACATTTAATACAGGTAAGCTTTGTTTTAGATTTCTAGAAATAAAATGCAATGGTTACAGCTTTTCTCTTATTTCTCTTTCCTTTAGTCTTTCTCCTTCACAGATAATGTCTATTCTGGAATTTATGAGTACCACTACCTGTGTTTTATAAAACTCACTTATTGGTAAGTATGTAGAGTATTATTATATGTATTTTGTACTTTTTAAATGTGCATGATGATATTCTAACTGTTGTAATTATATGTTTTTGAGATTTATTTGCTTGTAAATAAATTGTTCCTCCACTTTTTTGGAGGGGTAATAAATCAATACTGTAACGCACATTTATATGCATCTATATATCTTGTAAGCTTGAAAGCCTACTCTGTATTTTAGATGTTCCGAGACAGAGTTTTTAAATACTATTCTAAGAAAGTTCTTGGGCTGCATTTTAATCATTTCAACCAGGTGTTGTTCCTATCTGGGAAATTGCTCCACTGATTGAACACAAACTATAGTAAGAAAGTTGCTGGTGATAATTATTAAACAGCACAATCATTACTTGGTGGTTTCTATGTGCCTGGAATTGAAGTAGTTTAATCTTTTCAGAGTATATATTTAATGCACAATCAGAAGGATAATATCATCCATCCTCTAATTTTATTGAACTGGACAGAAGGAGACCAATGAGTGACACCTCTGTTCCTGTCCCATTGGTCAAAGTTCAAATGACCACACCTAACGGCAAAGGAGGCTGAGAAATGGATGGCTATATGCCTAGATAGAACTTTGCCAAAGACAGAAAAAAAGGAATAGGGGACTAGAGAGGTGGCTCAACAGTTAAGAGTACTGGTTGCTCTTGCAGAAGACCCGGGTTCAATTCCCAGAACCCATATGACAGCTAACAAAAGTCCTAACTCCAGTCCCAGGAGAATCTGACATCGTCTTCTGACCTCCTCAGGCATTGCACAACATGGGTGCATTTACATACATGCAAGTAATACAGTCATATGCATAAAATTAAAAAAAATAATATTTTTTAAGAAAAGAAAAAAAGAATGGATGTTGTGAATGAAAGTTTGTTTGAAAATTGTCTATTTTCAAATGTCACATGTTCTTTCTCATAGCTGGATGCTAACTTAGATATGCAGTTTTTAGTTGGAAAATCCAGAGAGCTCAGGAAACTAAGAAATGGCTATGGGGGGTGGTGTACTACTTCCTGGAAGGAAAAGCAGAATGCAGAGGTATAAAGGGGGAAAGCGAAAAATAAAGTAGGAAAGGTTAAATGGGTAATGGGAAGGCAGGATAGGAGGAGTAAGGGGAGGGATGACTAACATTAAAAGCATTTAGGAAAAAAACCATATGGAAACCTATCACTATAGAAGCTTCTTAAAACATATAAATATGCATTATAAAAGGAGGTTAAAAAGAGTTACCTTATAACAGGAGGACATTATCCCAACTAGACACCATAGGCTAGCAAAGTAAAAGCCCAATACCAGGAATGGACTCCTCTTTTGAAGCTGTTGAATAGAGGGTCCATAGATGCTCAACCAATACCAGCCATTGCCCCTGCTCTTGGTTACCCACTGGAACTTCACGGTGAGTGAGACCTTATTGCTGAAGCTACTACATACATGAGCTGTAGAACAAACAAGGAGAAATCAAGTTGGTGCTGACTTCAAAGCCTCTTCTCCATGGCTAGCTTTCACAGTGCTGGAAAAAATTAATCATTACCCTTACCCAGTTATGAATCCTGTGAGCTACAACAATTGGCCTAATAAGATATGCCTACTGATACAATAGTGTCATGAATATTATGGGAATAACCAACACTTTCTAATTGTATTAAAGGTCTGCTTCATAGGATGGAGCCCATACCTGGCATTAATATCAGGCCTAGGAACCCGAGGTTAAACAGGGCATAGGGGAGAGCCCAATACTGTTATTCTGCTCAATAGATAGAGTATTAAACTGACTCCTAATGACTTATTATTATACCAATAGATTAATACATCTCTCAACTCTCATTAGAGAAGCTTCTTTATGCAGCAGATAGTGACTGATGATTAACACAGAAAAACACAACTGGCCAGTGTGCAGAGACTAAGAGGCTACGGAATGCTTACCCCTGAATAGGACACCTATATCAAACTTCTGCCTCCCAAGATTCATTATGGAAGAGGGGGGCAGAAAGACTGTAAGAGCTAGAGGGGATAGATGACCACATGGAAACAAAGTTTTCTAGACAGCTGGTTAGTTACTCATATGAATTCACAGCAATGGTGACAGCATGCACAAGTCCCGTGTAAGCTCAAATCAGACAAAATCCCAGCATAGATGTGAAGAAGTGGGTAACAAACCCCAACCCTACCTGAGGAAATATTGGCAACTGATCACTGCTGGGAGGCGGGGGGAGGGGTCAGTCTCAATTAAGGGTAAGACTCTTGGTAGGTTAACCAGGTTCCAGTGGATGAATTCACATGGAAGGGCATTTGGGGACACAAACCTGACTCTATAGACCTTAATATATATACTTATTAATATATATTAATGTGTATATATTAAGGTTTTCTGTGTTAATATGTAGTATTAAAGTACATGAAATTGGATGCAGATAGGAGAGGGGATCTAAATATGATCAAAATGAGTTGTATGAAACTTATGAAAATTTAATTATAAAAGAGTTAAAAAATGTTTTTTTAATGGATATAGAAAACTGAAGAACAGAGAATGTAAATAGCATGTCCATAATTATATAATCACTAATTGATGGAAATGTTACAGAAGTTCTATAATCTTTTTTGTTGTTGTTGTTGTTTAAGAGTCTTGTAGCCCAGGCTAGCCTTGAAATTCTGCCTCCATCTCCCAACTGCTAAGACTACAGGGATGTGTCACCAGGCCCAATGAAATTCTGGGCTTTTTTTTTTTAAACAATTTTCCCCTTTTCTATTAAATTCTACAAGTACAAAACCATTCTATTTAAAATAACTCATAAGGAAAAATATGTTGGTGTCTTATGCATTTTCTTAAAATCCTTACTGTTAATAATTTTCTGGGAGCAAATTAAGTTTCCATTTACTGCAAGTTCAACCCACTGTAGTTTAGTTAACTGGTGATATAAGACTCAAACATTCAGAGGTTTGTTATCTGCTTTCAGACTGGACTCTATGTTCTTTCTTGACTCCTACAGGGTCTTCTGAGAGTTCACAGCCTCTAGCAAATGGAACTCATCCACTGATACGGATCCATGAAGACTCACTCAACTATTTGAAGCCCAATCCAAACAATGCTTTCTTGTCAATATCTTCTGCTTGATCATTCTTGGAATCATGGTTTTGGGTATCAATTGTTAGCAGAGCATTCTAGTTGTTTGTGTGTGGAGTCTGAGTGAAGGAAGGGAATGCACAGAATATGCAACATATCCAAACACCACTGAAGGTGTTCAGAACATTCTCATTGCTGTGACAAAATACATGATGAAAGCCACCTAAGGAAGAAAGGGTTTATTTTGGCTCACAGTCAGAGGGTCCAGTCATCATGACAGGGAAGGCATGGCGGCAGGGGCATGAGGTAGCTTGTCACATTGCACCTGCAGTCAAGAAGCAGAGAGAGATTAATACTGGTGCTCAGCTCACTTTCTCCTCTTTATGGTGTCTGGTACACCAGCCCATGAAATGGTGCCAGCCACATTCCCTCTTCAGCTCAGCCTTTCTAGAAATACCCTTTTAGGCATAACAAGGTGTGTTTCCAAGGTGATTCTAAATCCATTCAAGTTGACAATGAAAACTAACCATCACGACATCAAAGATCACTTTCTAGCTAAGAGTTTTCTATTTAATAAGGAATGTTGAACTCAATGATAGTCTTCTCAACCTATCAAAAATAAAAATAAAAGGTAAATGTGAGAAAATATCAAGAAAATGGTAGCACAAAACTAAAAAAATACTAAGATACAACTGTGTGCTATTCATATATAGATATATAGTAATTCACTGATATATTTATTCAACACTTTCAGGTATCTGAGAGAATAGTGATGCAATGTGACTTATGCTTATGATGTGTTATATTCTAAAAAGCTTTTCACAGGATCATTTCATCTGATAAAAATAATGAGAGCAGGAGGCAGAAATTGGCTAGGCAGTTTAGGATAAAGACACCAAAAGAAAAATAACCATTTCTTTCTCAGATGGGAGCTGGAAACTCCCTTGGATCTGCCAGTAAACTCATTTTAGCCTGAGGCTAGAGGTGCCAGGACTATCTAATCCAAAGATGTCTCTGATTCTCCCATAGCTAAAGGCTGTGGATGCCAATTAAGGGGGTCTTTTTTTTGTTTCCTTATCTCTCTTTTTCCTGAAGTAATACCTTGTTCCTGGAAGACATGCTGAGGATGTGACCAGGACTTCGAGGGACCTGGACACCTGGAATGAGAACTGACTGACCAACTCATGTCCCACTTCCTTCCTCCCTCCACTAAACTGTTATTAAAACTCCTGAATGATAAAACTCAATATAATCCCATTCCCTGGTCCCCTCCTGCTGCCCAGGAGCTCTGCTTTCTCTTTCCTACTGTCCCTATAATAAAATATCCCTTTC